GGAAACTTCTCGAATGACCGCCAGCCCGGAGTTCTGTGCTCATGTGAGCAAAATGGATTTGTTCAGAGATGAGACACGCTGGACAGCTCAAGCCCCTGGCATCCATCTGGCCTGAGCTGGTATTAAATGGATGCATAATTTATCGTCTCCCCTGGACGGAGGCAGCTGCCCGAGCCCCCGACACACAGAAGGATGGGCGTTGGGAATCAGGGAGCATCTTTAAGCCAGGAGCCTGAAATCCAATTTCCACCCTGTCCTGGGGACTAAAAGCTTTCTGTAAACAGCCGCACCAAATCCGCAGATCCAATTAGCCTCTGCCCGAGCCACTTGCCAAGAGCAAGGGAGCAGGCCAGACTTCGAGAGTCCCGTAGCCTCAGGCTCCAGGCAGCCGGAGGTGGACCCGCACCCCAAGGCGGGACCCAGCCGCTCACTGCCCGCTACAGCCGCCTGGCTCTGAGAGCACCCGCGGGGTCTGAACCCCAGGGCCCTCCCCTTCCCGTCTCCCAGACACCAGCCCCGAGACCAAGGTGCCCCCAAGTCATCAAGCAGTCCTGGTCGCCTTCCGTCTCCCCGCCGTCTTTAAAGACAAAGGCTCAGGTGCCCCAGCCCTGGGATCCCCGCCCCTCAATCATGCTCCTCCTCCCTCATTCTGCCCCTGGGTCAGACTCCGAGGCCCACTCCCGCCAGCCAGGGTGCACACACGCACGCACGCATATCGTCACACTCTCATGATCACACGTGGGAAGCAGACTCTTGGAAAGTCAAAGGCCTGTTAGCATATGCAAGGCTCCAAGAAGCCGGGCATCAAAATCAACAATTTAATTTGGTTTAACTCTCAGCTCTCCAAGTTGCAGTTTTCATGGCCCATCTGTCAGCATGCTAAGGACCAGTGTTCCGTGGGGCTCCAGGTGGGGAAGTTACTGTGTGGATGGGTCTCTGGACTGAGGTGACCGGAATCAAGGCTGAGGTCTCGATAGAAATCAGAATTTTTCTTGCTCTTACTTCTTGCTAAGAGCGTTCACTTCAAGCTGAGCGCCTTTACTGGGTGCTTTACATGTAAGGAGTAGCCCATTCTAACATGCAGCCCTGGAGGGGGCCTGTCATTCCCCCATTCTACAGCTGGGAAAACTGAGGCCAGACAGTGAAGCTGGGAGTCTCAGGCAGCGAAGGCTGAGTCACACTGCAGGGACAAACAGCCCCCCAGACCCGGGGGCCTGGAGAAATAAGTCTGCCTCTTCCTCAGGCTGCATGTCTGTCTGTCTCTCTGTTCCAGCTCCCAGTTTGCTGGGGTGGGGGCACTGCTGAGGGAAGGAGAGGAAGCCAAGCTTCTGCTCCCAGGGGAACAAGCCACTTCCAGCCTCCTCTCATTGGCCACAGGGACCCGGGCCATACTCCTGAGCCGAGGGCGCGACCAGACAGTGAGGTCTGTCCAGTTCAGCTCAGTCACTCAGTCGTGTCCGACTCTTTGGGACCCCAGGGATTGCAGGCAGCCAGGCCTCCCTGTCCATCACCAACTCCCAGAGTTTACTCAAACTCCTCTCCATTGAGTCGGTGATGCCATCCAACCATTTCATTCTGTCGTCCCCTTCTCCCGCCTTCAAACTTTCCCAGCATCAGGGTCTTTTCCAGTGAGTCGCTCTTCCCATCAGGTGGCCAAAGTATTGGAGTTTGTCTGTTCCGTGCGAGGCTGCTCAGCCCCCAAGGAAGAGACCTGCTCCCTGCATTCTGCACAGTCTACCCTGAGCTCTCTGCACTCTGGCCGCTGGGGGTCCCCTGGGGTCCCCTTCTCAGCAGCCCTTCCACACCAGCCGTCAGCTTCTGCATCTCAAAGCCCTGGGGCGTGACTATGGCCTCTCAAGGCCAGAGGGAGTTCGCCCACGAATTCAAGGTGTCCCCGGGGAACTGCAAAATCAGTCATCCCTGGGCCCCTGCCTCCCCAGAACGCCCAGGGGAAAACGTACAACCTAGCTGAAGAAGTGACTCTCAAATATCTAGAAATGATTGACCAGTGCAATGGAGACCCTGGAGTGAGACCCGATTTCTCTGAGGCAAGTTGGGGGCTCTTGCCAAGGGGGGTTGCCTGCCTGGAGCCAGAGCTAGAAGTCGGCACCAGTTGCAGAAGGCGGGCATCCTGGGTGGTGCCAGGCTCCTGGGAGGGCACTGGGCACCGAGGCGTACCGGGAGGGCCCCATCCAGCCGGGCGTGGGGAGACAGGGTGGAGACAGAGCAGTGGGGTCCAGGGGCTGGGTGCCCGCCTGGGACAGGGTGGGTGAGGTGGTGGCATGGGGGAGGACCCGCTCAAGCTGGACAGCAGGGGATGAGTGAGGTCACAGGTGAGGGGCGGTGCTCCAGGCAGACGGAGCAGCAGGTGCAAATGGCCTGAGGCACCGACGCTGGGCGGGCTCTAGTGACGCTCAGGAGAGCTGACTGTCACCAGGAACCACGGCTGTCCTCACTCCTCATAGCCACACCCACGATGGCAGCTCAGCCCTGCTCGGTACATGGGACCTCTGCCCCCACTTCCTGCGCCCGCCCTTGGCAGGCGTCATGGGTCAATGACCATCCTCCTCCCCGCAGACCACAGCTGCAGCCTCGGGTTCCCCGGCGGGGAATCAGAAACCTGCTGACCACCCCCAGCCCGACTCCTCTCCCATCACAGCTGCCCCAGACGTTCGTTTAAACCTGACTACAGCCATGAGAAGTCAGGAACGAAGGGGACGGTCTTCTCCGCGTCACCTCATCTCCCAGAGGGGACGCTGACCCAGCTGCCCAGGAGAGAGGCTGATTGGACCCTGCGTCTCTGTAAACCCAACACGCACGCCAAATTCAACCACATGCAGGGAAACGAGAGGGGCGAGGAGGGCGGGGGCTGAGAATGGAGAGTCCTCCCCCCCCCACCTCCCCAGGGTGCAGGCAGACGCCCGATGCCTGACACTCGGGAAAAATCAGAAAAAAGTCAGGAGAGCCCACGTTGTCCCCCGGAGGGGAAGTTAGCTGTGCTATGCTGGGGAGTTAATGAGATCCCCGAAGCAACCCAGCCCTGTTTTGCTGATGCAAGCACTCCATGGTCGCTGAGAGAGGTGTTTCTTTCAGTCCTTTTAAGAAAAAAGAAACTTAAAATGCTGCCTGCAGCTTGCCTCTGTATATATAACCTAAGGAGATGCTTTTCTTAATAAGAATGCCCACTGGGACACTGTGCGCGCTCACACACACACACACACACACACACACACAAAATAGGCCCGCACGTGGCCCCTCACCAACCCCCCCACACACGCACAAGCATCCGAACCTTGTCTGAGCTGAAATCCACAACTGCTGTCTGACTGATGCTGAAGCTCCAACACTTTGGCCACCTGATACAAAGAGCTGACTCATTGGAAAAGACCCTGATGCTGGGAAAGATTGAAGGCGGGAGGAGAAGGGGATGACAGAGGATGAGATGGTTGGATGGCATCACCGACTCAATGGACATGAGTTTGAGTCGACTCTGGGAGTTGGTGACAGACAGGGAGGCCTGGCGTGCTGCAGTCCATGGGGCAAAGAGTCGACACGACTGAGCGACTGAATAACAACAGCCACTCTTCCTGTTGAAGTTGGAGAGATGGGATGTCTGAGAAAGAGCGTGTGTGCTTGCTTGCTAAGTCCCTTCAGTTGCATCCAGCTCTTGAGACCCCAGGGACTGCAGCCCACCAGCCTCCTCTGTCCATGGGATTCTCCAGGCAAGAATTCTGGAGCGGGGTGCCATGCCCTCCTTCAGGGGATCTTCTGATCCAGGGGTCAAACCTGGGTCTCTTACATCTCCTGCATTGGCCGGTGGGTTCTTTACCACTAGCGCTACCTGGGAAGCCCCAAGAAAGAGCCAACCCCCTCCCAAAACCGGCAGGGAAAGCTGACTTGGCCTGGGTGCAGGCAAGACCGGGTGCTCTCTGAAAAGGCTTGTTCCGAGACCTTGAAATCCACGGGGCCAGTGGCTCACCTGCAGGAGACAGCCGCCACCCCACACCTGTTTTCGGGGGAGGCTTCTCCTTTCATCCTAGTAACTGGCCAATATGTTTGGGGTCCCCTGCTGGCATGGGAAGCTCCTACAAAGGGGAGCTAGAAGCCCGAGGAGTCTGGGCCCCCTCCTTCGGCGGCAATGAGCAGGTCTGTCCCATCTCCAGGCCTCAGTGTCCACACTGGTCAGCAGTGCCGGCCTTGCTGGCTCGTGTGGACCTCCCGGGGACCCTCTGGGTCACTGTGAGACTGACCCTCCATCTGCTGCAGGGACCCCGGCTCCCAGGGCCCCCTCTCCCCGCCGTGCCTTCAGCTCCCACATAGGGGTGCCCAGCCCCGTCCGTCCTCACATTCACACACACACCCCTCATGGCCGGCTCTCATACCGCGTGTAAGACGAGCCCGCCCCTGTCCCACCAGCCGGCCCTCCCTCCGGGGGAGCTGTCCACACCGCTCTGGAAGCCACTCCCCTCTCCCCGCCGTGCCTTCAGCTCCCGCATAGGGGTGCCCAGCCCCGTCCGTCCTCACATTCACACACACACCCCTCACGGCCGGCTCTCATACCGCGTGTAAGACGAGCCCGCCCCTGTCCCACCAGCCGGCCCTCCCTCCGGGGGAGCTGTCCACACCACTCTGGAAGCCACACCTGACCCATCAGCAGAGCCCCGCGCTGTCCCCTCGAGTGGGACTGGGGGCTGGACACGGGGCCGCGAGAGGCGGGGAGGCAGGGACGTGAGCCTCTGGGCAGGAGGAGCCGCCTGCGGGGCCACAGCTGTCTGGGCAACAAAAAGCTCTGTCTGGGGCCAAACACAAGGGGGGACCCAATGCTCAGGGGGTGGGGCCCTCAGTGTGGGCCTTCTGGGTGGTGCTGGCTCTAAAGAACCCACCTGCCAACACAGGAGACGTAAGAGACGCAGGTTCGATCCCTGGGTCAGGAAGACTCCCTGGAGGAGGGCAGGGCAACCCGCTCCAGTATTCTTGCCTGGAGAATCCCTTGGACAGTGGAGCCTGGTGGGCTGCAGTCCCTGGGGTCTCGCAAAGAGTCAGACATGACTGAAGTGACTTAGCACACGCACTCACGAGAAGCAGGACCTATCAGGGAAGAGCCAGCAAGCGGGGCAAGGGGGCTGCGGCGGACACAGCGGGTGGGGAAGGCGTTTAGAAGCGAGGGGTGAGGGGTGAGCCCTGCACCCCCACCTCCTCCCCCCGCCCCCAGCCTGCCAGCACCTCACGTCCGCTACTGATGTGTCCACCGTGGACGTGCTCCACGTGGCTGCAGGCGGCAGGTACTGACTGGGAGCTGGCGCGCTCTCCCCAGATGTCCTGCCCGAGAGACGAGTCCATCCCAGAGACGGTTTACGCATTTCCCAAAGCTCAGGCCAGATGCTGCTGTTTCTAGGAAGTTTCCAAAGACCCCCTCCAAGCAGCGTCCAGCTCCGCAGACCCCACGGTGGCTGGGCCGGCAGGGGGCTGGGCCCTGTCACACCCGCTGGGCGTCCTGCTGCCCCCTCCTCCAACCCGTAACCCCTACAGTAGGGCCCCCCACTACCAGCTCCGGTACCTGTTGACGTGTGTGCCCTCCTCACCCCTGGACCCCGTGGGCTCCAGGAGCAGAGAAGCCGCCGGGGCTCCCGGTCCACTGCGTGCCTGCAGCGTATGTATGTTGGGTGGTGCATCCACGGTCCCCAGTGCCCCGCCTGCCAGTCGGGGGGCGCTGAGGCAGGCAGCAGAGTGGACCTGGCGTCAGGTGCCAGCCCCCATGGCGCCCCCAAAGCTTCGAAGCCACAGCGGGGCCCCCGGGGAGCGGCTAGTCTACGCAACCTGCCGGATCCATGCCTCCGCAGAGCCCGCCCCTCAGGGGCCTGTGTGGACCTGGTCTTGCCCCTTCGCCTCTGCCGGACCCCCGAGTGGGGGGACCATGTCGGGGCAGGAGGGTCTTTCGGGCACCTTGAGACTTGCCCCCGGTCCTGAGCCAGAGCCCAAAGCAAACTTTGAAGTTTTGCTAGAAATCTCAAAGGTCAGCTGTTCTCCCGTTTCCAGAACTTATTGATCTCATCTAGGCTGGAAAGGCAACGACAAAGCTTTTGTTGTTCGCGTCTGAGCGGCAGCGGGGAGGGCGTGCGGCCACCTGCATCTGTCCCGGGGGCCGACACGGGCAGTGTCTCCTTGAGGGCCCGCACCCCCTGGCTCTCAAAGCTCAGGCCAGATGCTGCTGTTTCTAGGAAGTTTCCAAAGACCCCCTCCAAGCAGCGTCCAGCTCCGCAGACCCCACGGTGGCTGGGCCGGGAGGGGGCTGGGCCCTGTCACACCCGCTGGGCGTCCTGCTGCCCCCTCCCCCAGCCCGTAAGCCCTACAGTAGGGCCCCCCACTACCAGCTCCGGTACCTGTTGATGTGTGTGCCCTCCTCACCCCTGGACCCCGTGGGCTCCAGGAGCAGAGAGGCCGCCGGGGCTCCCGGTCCACCGCGTGCCTGCAGCGTATGTATGTTGGATGGTGCATCCACGGTCCCCAGTGCCCCGCCTGCCAGTCGGGGGGCGCTGAGGCAGGCAGCAGAGTGGACCTGGCATCAGGTGCCAGCCCCCATGGCGCCCCCAAAGCTTCGAAGCCACAGCAGGGCCCCCGGGGAGTGGCTAGTCTACGCAACCTGCCGGATCCATGCCTCCGCAGAGCCCGCCCCTCGGGGGCCTGTGTGGACCTGGTCTTGCCCCTTCGCCTCTGCCGGACCCCCGAGTGGGGGGACCATGTCGGGGCAGGAGGGTCTTTCAGGCACCTTGAGACTTGCCCCCGGTCCTGAGCCAGAGCCCAAAGCAAACTTTGAAGTTTTGCTGGAAATCTCAAAGGTCAGCTGTTCTCCCGTTTCCAGAACTTATTGATCTCATCCAGGCTGGAAAGGCAACGACAAAGCTTTTGTTGTTCGCGTCTGAGCGGCAGCGGGGAGGGCGTGCGGCCACCTGCATCTGTCCCGGGGGCCAACACGGGCAGTGTCTCCTTGAGAGCCCGCACCCCCTGGCTCGTCCCCGCTCCCAGGGGCTCCGCGCCCCCCTCTCATCCCGCACCCAGGGGCCCCACATCCTTCCGCTCATCCCCTCACCTGAGGGCCCCGCACCCCCCTCTTGTCCCGCATGCTGTCCTGAGCACACCTGGCCACGGGCCTGCCCCCAGCCCTGCCCCTGAGAAGGCAGCCCCTGCGCCCGCCCGGGGAACCCCCCATCCCCCACTGTGCAGGGCCCCGTCTCCCTGGACTGAGGGGGGCTCAGGACACCCCAGTCCCCGGGGGAGAGAACAGTGGACGCCAGGGAGGAGGGGGGTGGTTGCAGGGAGCCCGGCTGAGGGCGGCACTCGGCTAGCAGGCCCTGGGACGTCCTCACCCCCCAGACCGGCCGCTTGCTCATTCACTCACTCACTCGTTTGCTCACTCACACACTTTACCCACTCACTCACTGTCTCACACACACACTCACTCACTCATTCCCTCACTCATTCACTCACTCAAATACTCACTCACAAACTCACACACTCACTCATTCACACACACACTCACTCACTGATTTACTCACTCATTCATTTATTCACTCACTCATTCAGTCACATACTCATTCTTTAACTCACTCATTCACTCACTAGAGAGGGGAGGGGGAGAGAGAGGGGAGGGGAGCCAGGGGCACCTGCAGCTTCTCAAGCAGGGCATCCCCGGCAGCAGGGGTCCTGGTGCCCCTCCCAGGAGCCCAGGCCCTGGGACGGGGGTTCAAGCCCAGCCTTGGTGCCTGCAGCCCCTGGCGGGCCCTACTCTGCCTGAGCCACAGGCTCCCCGGCGGCAGGGCGAGTGGTTGGTCTCTTTGCCATCAGCAGGTGGCAGGTGATGAACAGAGCCCCTGTTGGGGGGCTTCTTTCAGGGGGGTCACACAGCCAGGACAGTGACAGCCAGGACCTGAGCCGCATCCCCGCAGACAGGCCATCATCCCCTGGTGCAGGCCCCCTCATCTGACCGTGGCCGAGGTGGGTGGGGACCTGGCAGGACTCTAGCCCGATGGGTGGAGACGCCACCAGGCTCGTGTGCAGCCTCGCCGTCCGGCATCTCCAGGAGCAGAAAGGGGCCCCCGCATCCCCTCAGCCCCCTAGGCCTCAGCGGGCTGCTGATGTGAGATAAGAGCTGGCTCCTGCGGAAGCCTAGAGGCCAAGCTGGTAGTTTTCCATCATTAGAGCAAGTGATCAGCCTCGCAGGAGGCCAGGCGGGGCTGGAGGATCCCTCCTCCCGGCTCTGAGCAGCCCGGCTGGGGGGCAGCTTTCCAGAACCCTCTGGAGCCTGCCTCTCCCACCATCTGCAAGCTCTGGGGGCCGGCCAGCTGGCCAGCCAGCCATCCACCTCCACCATGCATTTATCAAGCCTCTGAGAACCTCCTGGGCGTGGCACCTGACGACCTTCCCTGGTGGCGTAAAGAACCTGCCTGCCAATGCAGGAGATGGAGGAGACGTGGGTTTGATCCCTGGGTTGGGAAGATCCCCTGGAGGAGGAAATGACAACCCACTCCAACATTCTTGCCTGGAAAGTCCCATGGACGGTGGTTGATCCCTGGGTTGGGAAGATCCCCTGGAGGAGGAAATGACAACCCACTCCAACATTCTTGCCTGGAAAGTCCCATGGACGGAGGAGCCTGGTGGGCCACAGCCCGTGGGGTCAGGACGAGCAGCTGGTGGCCTTCGCAGCCTCCCTGCCGGAGCCCTGTCCGTCTCCCCCTGTGATCCTGGAGGAATCAGCTGAAGCCCCAGGGCTGTGTGGGAACTCACCACGATTCCTGCTTAGTCGTGATATGAACCTGGTTCAGCTCAGTTCAGTAGCTCAGCCGTGTCCGACTCTTTGTGACGCCATGGACCACAGCACACCAGGCCTCCCTGTCCATCACCAACTCCCGGAGCTTCCTCAAACTCAAGTCCGTTGAGTCAGTGAACTTAAAGCTGCCCTAAAAACATAAAGTCTATTTTTAAAAAGCGTGTAAATGGAAACCCTCGAGTCTGTGGCCTTCTGAGCCTGGCCTCCTCCTCTCATGTAAGGCATGGGAGAGCCGTCACATTTTGCACACATCCGGAGCTGGCCCTTTTGTACCGCTGAACAGTTTTCCACTGCACGGAGGCAGCCATTTATTTGTTCACTTATCAGCTGATGGATTTTTGAATGGTTTCCAGTCTTTTGGCTATTATAAATAAAACTGTTATAAACATTTTTTTTTTTAACCACCCGGGGGTCACAGAGGTGGCAGGCTGCAGGGCCCAGCTCCACACTCAGCGAGCCTCTTTGGCTTGGTGACAACTTGTGAGGCCCGCCAAGACTTCCTGCCAGCCCAGGAATGTTAGCCTGGGACCTCCCGGCCCTGCCTCCCTGCAGCTGCAAGTCCCTGGGGGGTGGCCTGAAGCACCCCCAAAGACACCCCCACCCCCTCGGGGTTGGTGAGCAGGCTGAGAGCAGCTGCCCCGGGACCCTGACCTCCCCTGGGAGCTGACCGACCCCGAGCACTCCTCCAGTGTTTTTTTCTAGGAAACCCGTGGGACAGGCGGTAACAGTCCTCTCTCAGGCTGCAAGTGGGGAAACCAAGGCAGGAGGCTGGGGGAACTTGTCCACGTCACTTGCCTTGTGTGCAGCCCGGAAATGGAGCTACAAGGATCTACGTCCCCCCTCCCCCAAATTCACGTGTTGAGGCCTGAGTCCCCGACCCCTGGGAATGGGGCTGCTTTGGAGAGAAGAGCTTGACAGAGCTGAGGAAGGAACGTGAGGTCTTCGGGGAGCGTCCTGGTGCCATCTGACCGGTGTCCTTACAAGAAAGGACCCAGAGGGGCCATCTCGAGAGGACACAGGGAGAAGATGGCCATGTACACACCCTGGGGAGAAGCCTCAGAGGCACCCACCCTGCAGACACCTTGATCTCAGGCTCCACGCCCCCAGGACCGCGAGGAATTACATTTCTGCCCATCTCGGGTATACGCATTAGGGCGGCTCCAGGACAGATACAGGCCTAAATCCAGAGTACACACTCCAGCCGCTGCATCCCCAGGTAAGGCCGTGTCCCAGACAGACACGCCAGGAGGGGGCGGCTCACCCCCAGCTGCTCCCCCGAGCCCCACCTCTCACCCCAGGTCAGGCCCCCGCATACCGCACACCAGAGTCTGTAAAGTCGTATTTGCCTCAGCGCTTCTGCGGCCAGCTGCCCATCCTCCCGAGGACTGCGAGCTCCACGGGGTGGCAGGGGTCTTCACGTGGCTAAGCTGGTGCCTGGTGGGCTGTGGGCTCTCAGTAGAGATCTTTTTTGACAGAATGGTGATAAGCGTGCCCTGTTTGTGCCATAAAGACCATCCCCGTTACAGGAGGGCATTAAGCGCTTGTAGGATCTCATTGTCGTGTCCCCACAACCCACGTCCAGCGCGAGTCCATCAGTGCTTCTCTCATGGTAGTTCAGATGGTAAAGAGCCCGCAGGCAATGCAGGAGACGTGGGTTGGATCCCTGGGTTTCCGGAAGGTGCCCTGGAGGAGGGCATGGCACCCCACTCCAGTAGTCTTGCCTGGAGAATCCCATGGACAGGAGCTTGGAGGACTACACTTTAAGGGGTGGCAGAAAGTCAGACAGGACAGCAACGAACACTTTCACTTAAACATTTATTCTTTCTTTGGCTGCGCCAGGTCTTAGATGTGGCAGGCGGGATCTTCCATCTTCTTTGGGGATCGGCTTATTTTCCGTTGCAGGCATGTGGAATCTAGCTGCCTGACCAGAGATGGAACCCAGGCCCCCCTGCGTTGGGAGCAGGGAGTCTTAGCCACTGGACCACAAGGAAAGTCTCCATAAATGCTTCCTGAATGAGTGAAATGGGTGAGTGGATGGGCCAACTAATGAGTGAATGCCCCCTCCCCCAGTGACCTCCCCCAGAGCACCAGAGACAGAGGCGACTTCGGGCACCTCACAGATCTGGGTCGATCCAGGCTGGTTCAATCCTGCTGGGATTAGCATCAGATCTGGATTTCCTGCCGTCTTCAGAGACAAGCCCTGCCATGCTCCTGCATGTGACTGGCATGTCCACAAGCCCTGGAGGAGGCAAGTGTCCAGGCCAGAGCCCCTGCCATCCCAGGGCCCCTCTGTGCCGCCAAGGGGCTGGTCCCACCCCTGGCGGTGAGGA